GGAATGGGGAGGGGAGGCTAAACTGGTGTTAATATGGACAAAAAAAGTCTTGTATGTGGCTTCCACTATTGAAGACATTAGATGATCTGTCTGTGGGATCAAGCAATTGTGAGTTGATTCGGTTGAACTTGAATTTCAGGATGCACAAAAATATACAGCGAGGGTTTTGGACTTCAGCAGGGCTAACTTTAAGAAACTAAGGCAATTAGGGAGGTCGATTGCTTTTGTCTGTCCTGCTTTTTACATATAGCAGTTGTAGAGCGTTGTTGGTATTTTTGTGTTGCATCCTGTGCATGAAGGTTTGGGGTAGACAGTTTTATGAATTTCTGGGTTAAATGGTAGTCTGTGAATGCAAGGGACTGGATTTGGTGGCTTTGGGAAGCTTTCTCCAGTCTTATTTAAATATTTATCCAGGCACGAAGACATTGATGTTAGCTAGCCAAGGATATATTCAACTTATTTTAGATATTAATACTCAAACATGCTTGTGGTAGTTAGATAAAAACTGTTTCCATTTACATGTGAAAAATTTAAGATGGAGTAGTTAAGTAATTTGCAGAAGCGGAAAAAGAGCTATGTCAGAGATTAATTTCTACTTTTTAGTTTTGCCGTTAGACTACATTTTTGTCCACTCTGTGTCTCTTTTAGGAATGATAGGATTGTTATGGGAATTGTAAGATTTTTATAAAACAAAATTAAATGTTTTTCTTACTTTTCTCTTGAAGTCTATCCAAAAGTGGAAAAAGAAGAAGCAACAACAAAAAGATGAAATCTTAAAGCACAAGGAGAAGTCAGAGGAAATTCTAAGGACAGCACATCTTCAACATGATGAAGTTCAGAAACAGAAAGCAGAGGAGGAAAGAAAAATGCGACAAGCAGCAGTTGAAGCATGGAAACAACATAAAGCAATTGAATTTGCAATGAAGCAAGCATCTAAATTGAAAGAAGAAATAGAGAAGCAGAAGAAACAGGAAAAAGAGCGCCAGCGCCAGTTCCAGTTGAAGCTAGTGTTAGAAGAATACACATTACAGAAGAAGGAAAAGGAGGAGCTCCAGAAGCTTGAAAAGGAGAAGAGAGAGGAGGCAGAAAGGGAAGAGAGGAAGAGAATTGCTGCAGAAGAAATTTCTAAGTTTCAAGAGCGAGTGAGTAATTTTAGTTTTTACATATGGTATTAGAAAGTGTAAGACACTAGATAATTGATTATCAATAAGTCTTAAGTTTTGTTTTTAGAATCACTAGCCACATCTGTTGGAAGGTAGGTCTGTGTCTTGAAAATAATTCATTGTTTTGTCTAAATTTAAGACCATCCAACTAGCGATCCACAGGTCGCATGTGGCCTGCTAGGAGCCAGCATATGGTCTGCAGGCCATGTGGGCTTGTGAGCAGTTAACAACATGTGACCCATGGACCCTGAGGGTCATTTCTCCCACTGCTGTGCATTGGGAGGAAGAAGCTGCGCAGTGCTGCAAGAGGGTGGGGGGGATACCCCACAGCATGTGGCCCTTGGCCATACTGAAGTTGGACAGCCCTGGTTTAAATTATAGAGAAATAGGGCTCAAATGGACCTAACAAAATCATTGTTTCCAGTCCCCTACTTCAAGGCACAGTCATCCCTATCTAAACCATCCTAAACTATGTTCTGTTGCTTTTCTTTAAGGTCTAAGTTCAGCAAAGTACTTTTACATAAAATGAAATGTGCACAAGAGTAGTTTCATTGGCTTTAGTAAGGCCATGTACCTACTGAAAAGTTTATCATATGCTTAAGTAAGCTGCTGAATAAGGGCATTCCCACTGTCGTCATTTGCTTCAATTTTTCTTTCTTAAAGAATGGATATTAAATAAAGGGACTATATAGTGATGCAATGTCAAAGGTTACAGTAGTTTGTTTGAAGAAGATAAACTTGTGTTAAGCAACTCTCCAGGGTAATTTAATTCTGCATTGTAACATTAGGAATGAAAAACATTTGAAGTTGGGTTTTTTTTGTTTGTTTGTTTGTTTTTTTGTGGTTTTTTTTTGTTTGTTTGTTTGGTTTTTTTTTTGTTTTTTTTTTTTGTTTTTTTTTATCATATGAAAATGACATTGCTGTGTGTGCGGGCCTCCTCCCGATCCCATCCATGCGGCCATGTGCGGGCTAGGAGCGGTATGCGAACCCGTTTCTGTGCACGTGGGCTGTGGCCAGCAGCCCGGGCACGCGGGGTCAAAGAAAACTGGTGGCGAGCTAGAATTAGTTACAGACGCATAATGGTTGATTTAAAATATTGTTTACTTACACCAAAGATGGTCGTGGTGTAGGCTGGACAGTTTTTCCAGGCTCAGCTCCGCTTAAGTCCTCGCTAGAGGACTCCGACAATTGACCCCGGAGTTGTTGAAGCTCCACGGGTTCGGTAGTTTCAAAGGAAAGGGATATGTCTAGGATCGCGCTCGGTGACGGGGAGAGGCTAAAGGGCGGTTTGGCCCCGGGGGGGGTGGTGCTCCGCGCTCTTTCTCCCAAACTCCAATTTCTCTCTTTCTCTCCCCCCCCAACTTGGGCAGAAACCTCCCAAGCTCTTTATACGGCTAGCAAGCCAATTGCTAGCCACCACGTGTGCATAATTTAGGATCGGCCAGTAATGTGGCGCGAATCTAAATACAAATGGCAGGAACTCCTTTGCACCATGCATCACTATGATGCAAAAGAAATGCACCATGCAAAGAAGGCTACAAACTGGTGGGAAATACTGTTCTGCACGCGGGTTCTCCTATTGCAGCAGAAAACTCTACCGTGCAAAGGAGCTGCAATTTGGCGGGGACATAATTTAGCGGTGCCGAAGCGCACACAAACAAAAAACCACAACTTTGGGTTGTGACACTGTGAAGTAGGCTAATCCCATTAGATCAGAAATTAGTACTGAAGAATGGGAGGAAATTAGTACTGTCTGGAACAATGGTTCTTATACATCCATCTGCACAATAATAAAAGAAAATTATTATAAAATCCTATATTGATGATATCTGACCCCACTTCAAAAAATTAAATGCATTTATGATATAGGAACAGACAAACGTTGGAGGAAGTGTGGTCAGTTTGGGGGGATTCTACCACATGTAGTGGATAATATCCCAAAATTAAACTGTTCTGGAAGAACGTTGGAGAGACAGCGAGGGGAAATAACAGGATGCCAGCTATCAGATAACCCCTTAATGTTCCTATTGAACCTTCCTGAGTTTCAACAACATATAAATGTCATAAGGCATTGATCACTTTTGTCTTCTGGTGGCTGCAAGAATTACAGTTGTAAAGGCAACACTAGAAGGTACGTAACTGCTAAAATCACAGACTGGCGTAAAAAAGTTTGGGAAGTTTTAGTAATGGAAAAACTGTCCTATCAAGTCAGGGTTCTACAGGGTAGGAAGCAGAAAGTTTCTTATTTGGCAATTTGGGTGAGAATTTCTGGAATTTGCTTAAAAAAAAAAAAAAAAAAAAAAAAAAAAAAAAAATACTTCCAAACCAGAAAACTTGAGGAACGTTTTTGAATATTGAGGTGCAAGTTTTTATGAGATAACACTTGGGAATGAATTTGGAATGGATTTTAGATTTGGGGGTAGAAGTTTAATGGAGGATAGTGGGATTTATATTGTGCAGAGTTCTGGGGCAGAGGAGGGGGTGAATTATTGTATTAACAATGAAGAAACACAAAAGCTTTACTTCAGCGGAGGCACTGGGGAGCTGTTGGGGATTGGGAAGGGGAAAGGAGCGCAAGACTTCCATAGACACTGATTTTTAGCTGTGGTAGCACTGTTGGTGGGAGATTAGTGTCTGTCTTTGTGTAAATTTGGAGGGATTGGATGTGCCTTTTAATGTTGGATCTGTTATTCCATAAGCTAGATTCATTACTAAATAAAGTTTAAAAATGCCATTGGTGCTTTAACACTATTTGTTTTATATTACAAAAAGTACTTGATACACATTTCATCCAGAATATATTTTTCAGGATCTGCATAAACTTGAGCTCAAGATGCTAGAAAAGCAAGTTAAAGAAGAGGAAAAACTAGAAAAAGAAAAAACATTAGCAAAATTAAGAGAGAAGGTAACAGACATATGTATAGGATTATTTGATTGAACCTTTTTGTTAGTCTGAGAAATATTCTTGTGCTCAAAATATATATTTTAAAGAGCTTTTTATCTGTTGCCTTGCTTGCGTTCTCCCTCTCTCATTGAATTGATTTATTATAACTACCATTGATTGTTTTGTTTGTTAATCCTCCCCATCCCTAATGCTATGAAAAATCAGGTTTTTTTTATAACAAGGAGAATACAACAAATGTTTTGTTAACAAAGGAGAGAGAGTTAATTTTTCATTTGAGAGAGATTTGTAATAGTATGTTAAAAGCATATAAAGATGGCAAAATATCAGCAAAAACAAATCAAATATATGCCTGTCTAGAGTTGTTTGATTACATTCATTCTAAAAGATGCTGACCACTTGGTAGCTGATGTTCATGCTGAATCATTTTGAGAATTTACAGAAGACCTATATGCAAGACTCTCTCGGTTTTTTTGTTTGTTTGTTTTTTTGTTTTTAGTGCGCAGATAAAACCACTTAAGCAGTCACTTCCCTTTTGTAACCACATAGAGTAAATGCTTCAGTATTGCATTGAGCTACATGTGGTCTCTGAGGTCAAAGTCTCTCTTCACTAATAACACTTGCTGCATGTCTTCTAAGGATTATCAAACATGCACTGCTTTTATGCTAGAGATCTAGCTAATGAAAAGGTACTGACTACTTTTTTTTTTTTTTTAAATATACTGTTGAAAGGTTGAAGTTCACGTAACCAGAGACCCATCCAGATTGTACAAACCTACAAAGGGTTGGGAGGAACGTACAAAAGAGATTGGTCCCACTGGTGCAGAGCCACTCTTACACATTCCACATAGGTAAGAAAGAAGAGAACTGTATTTACTCGATTCTAAGATAAAGTATTCTCCCCTCATTTAACATGGGGGTGGAGAGAAAAGTCCCTCATCTTGGAACTGAATATGAAATGATTATGAGTAAGGGGTGGGCAGCTGCTGCAGTTCAGGCTCTGGACCCAACCCTGGGTGGGGCCCGAGTCATATCTATTGCCTGATTTT